ATGAAGATGGTGGTTTAAGAATGTTAAATATTTTCGAATTTTTTAGAAGTAAATGCATATTTTGGATAAAAAAGTTATATCAAGCAGAAAATATAAAAATTAGCAGCCCTTTTTATTTTGACATATTTATGAATTGGTGTGATATATACACACGAAATATTAATTTTTTAGAAAATTTTGAATCTCAAATAATTTAGAATAATATAAATATTAAAATTGGAGGTAGTCCTATATTTGAAGAAGGATATATTCATGTGAAAGATATTTTACTAAAAAGTACAACTGAATGCGGAAACCTTACTCTCTTAGGCATAAAATCTATAATTAAAAAATTATCTAAGAATCCCCAACTCACACTTTTAAAACAATAACGATTCCAGAACAAATAAGTCAAAACCTTTACACGTTATATAAACATAAATTAGATGCCATAAAACCAAAATATATATATATATGATATTCAAATAAAGAAATATAATTCGAAACTTAAAGGAATACAGGTTTGGGAGAAATACCTTGACAATGAGCTTTTAGAAGAAGACATTAAATCTATATTCAACGAAATACAAGATGTTTGCTGTAATATAAAAATCTAGAAACTTCGAATATAAATTTTTAAATCGCAGTATTTTTATAAACGATAAATTATGTAAGATAGGAAAAGAAAGTTTGACTCTCTGTGATGTGGTTCATGTATCGAAAGTTTAGAACATCTGTTCATTTCCTGCAGCGAATCACAAAAGGTATGGGATATCCTATCAAGTGTTTTCGATAAAAATTGTATTAAACTCACAACATCCTTCAAAGTATTTGGTTTATATAAAAGTAACTTAATTCCTAGGCCTTTATCCGATTTTATCAATCATTCATTAATTTTGACTAAATATTTCATTTATTCTATTAAACTACAAAAAATAAACATAAATACAAAACATATTTACTGAATATAGCACAAACGGAACTTAATACGTTTTCAGATATTGAAATATACAAAAGTAAGTGGTCATTTTTGTCTTTTTGAGTTATCTGTTATATTTTACGATTTTTCTGATTTTCAATAGGGTTTATCCCTGGACGATAACAAACACTCATGCCAAGTTTCGTCAAAATCCATCAAGAATTGTCCCTTCTAGAGTGTTAAGGAGCTAAAGATTGAACGACTAGAACCGTAATAATGGTACTGAAGCAGTGCGCATCCATCCTGATACATCGATAAAACGTTGTATTTTAAAGTCACAATGGGATTTTCTACCGAAAAGAAAAGCATGTAAACATTCAATAGTAAAAGCATCATTTAAACCGTTTAACGTTCGGTAGTGACAAGATGCAGGAATTTGATACCATTCGGTACTAAAATGTGTTAACATTCGGTAGTAAAAAGTCGAATTTTCAAATAGCTGTAAAGTTAAAAGAACAAATCTCATAAAAAAAATTAAAATATTTTTGGAAAGGTCTCGTCAGGTACAATAACTTGTGTTAAAGTCAAGAAGTCAACAAAGGTCAAATAAAAGAAATATAAGCCTTAAAAGTGTTGAAAAATGCTGTTTTGGGACTTCTGAAAAAGCGGAAGTATATGTCAGATATCAAAGATAAAAGTATGAATGGACATCCTAGATCATTGTCCTTCGACCTTGCGAAGATCAAGGTCATGCATGCCAATGGTCAAAATAGCAAAATTTAATCAATTGTAAAACCTATTCCCTTTTTTATAGTAAAAGGTCCAAACAAATGTAACTTTATCACTAAATATCCCAAGCAGTGAGTTATTGTTATGCAAAACTTCTAAGGTGACAAATGCAAACTTTGCGAGTTATAACAATTGCAAACATTTAAGGTAAAGTTGAATAAAACCTGGATGTGCCATGCCCACTTCAATAATTTTGTTATGTCTGTAATAATGTGTACAATGTAAAAATAATGTTAAAATTTCAAGTGTTTACAATCATTAGATCATGAGATATTCGTAGTTATTTTTTTTTTTTTAAGGCAACGGTGACATAGACACCGTTAAATTACGCACAATTACTACAGAAGTCAGTACAAAATTTTCAAATTCTAAAAAGCGCAAATACCACGTGTTATATATCATTTGAAAGAATAGATTACCTGTAATAAGGACATAAGAGAAATTTCCATGTATGTAAATTAGGTCACGTGACAGAGCTCTTCAAAGTTAAACAACGCGATTTTCAATTTGTTGTAGAACCGGAAGTTAACGATGCACAACAAAAGTGAAGATATCATCAGATATATTTCGTAATGGGCAACAAATTTTGTTCAGGTCAAAAGGTCAACAAACTTGAAGTATATATCGGATATCAAAAGTAAGAAAGTAAGAATGGTCATCTTAGTTCAATGACCTTTGACCATGCAAAGGTCAAGGTCATTTGTGTTAAAGTTCAAAAATGAAAATTTCCAAAATTGTTAAACCTATTCCCTTTTTTAAAATAAAGAAGGCAAACAACTGTAATCTTATCACAAATTGTCCTAAGAAGTGATCTAGTTTTATGCAAAATTTCTGGGGTCACAATTGCAAACTTTGCGAGTTACGACAAATATTTCAGGTAAAGTAAATGCACACCGGATCTGCCACGTCCACTTCAAAAATTTTATGTCGTCTGTGATGAGGTGTACATTGTTAAATAATGTTTAAAATTTCAAGTGTTTACAATCATTACATCATGAGATATTCGTAGTTATACGTTTTTAAAGGCAATGGTTACTGTCAGTGGATTATAGACACCGTGAATTTATGCACAGTTACTATAGAAGTCAGTACAAAATTTTCTATTTTTAAAACGCGCAATTTTGATCAAAATATCAAGTGTGATATATCACTAAAAAGGAGAGATCATGCACTCTAAGAATATATAAGAAATTTTGTTGTATGTTAATTAGGTCACGTGACAGAGCTTTTAAAAGTTAAAAATCGTAATTTTCCAATAGCTGTAGAACTGGAAGTTAACAATGCACAACAACAGTGAAGATATTATAGGGTATATCTCGTAAGGGGCAACAACTTTTGCTCAGGTCACAAAAGGTCAAAGTCACTAGATATGAGCCTTAATAGTTTTGACAATTACTGAAAACATAAAACCGGAAATAAAAAAAATGCAAAGCCAAAATTCAAAAATACTTCCGGGTCAAATTTATTGCTTCCAAAATCTTTACAAGGATAATTATAACTCAACCGGACGTGATATCTAAATTTTGAAAGCAGATTTTTGTTCGCAATGTAAATGTCTATCTACGTGTAAATTTCCAGATCGATCGCAAAAAAAATTGTGGAAGTTTAAAAAATGCTCCAAATAAAATCTCCAAAAGTCAGCGACAAAAGTCAAAATTTGAAATTTCATAAATTGCTATCTTTTAGCCATTAGTTCAAAGTAATGAACAAAACAAAAATTATCATCAAAATAGATTCAGAATTAGAGCAGGTATTGGAAAAACATACTGAACGATTAACGTCCTACGTCATTTCCGGTTGGGCGAAGATGCGTCATTTTACATTTAAACAATAGCGACACGCAAGATAAAAGAGATAATGGTGTCAGATAACCTGTGGTATGTGCAGTTTTGGCTAGAGAGCATGACCAGAAGTAGACAAAAAAAAAATAACTCATACTAAATATTTTTCTGATTTTCAATAGGGTTTATCCTTGGGCGGTATCAAACACTCATGCCAAGTTTCGTCAAAATATGTCAACAATTCTAGAGTATTTATGAGCTAAAAATTGAACACGTTTTCAAGAACAAGGGCAATAACTTATACTGCGAATCATTTCAATTTACCCAATCATTCTATTGAAGATCTTGTTATGCCTGTAGAAAAAGTACCAGTATCAACATTGATCAAACAAAAAACCAAGCGATTGCAAAGGGAGAGTTTTTGGATAGACCAACTACAAACAGTCATACCTAAGGGCCTAAATATCCAACATGACAACCAAATCATACCCTTCATTGCAACCTACAATACAGATAAAAATGCCTCTGTCATTGTCAAACACTTTTATAATGAGCTCCAAGATGAATTTCTAAACGTTTGGTCACTGCATATAAAAGAAATAAAAACTTTAGTAATGTATTGGTTCATGGTAGATTAGAACCCCTTTCATCAACTCCCTGAAACAATTGCATTGGAGTTGAATATAGTTTTCTTGTAATCTCTCCAGAAGTAATAATCTATGAATAATCTTCAGTAAAACATATTCTGTTTAAATTGAAATAGTTTTCTTGTTGAAATCCATAGTCTCTACTTGTGACCTAGGCCAGTGGTTCTATAAGAGAGTATCTTCTATAACACCTATAACTAAATATTTTTCGAAGCTTCTGATTTTCAATAGGGTTCATTGTTGGGTGATTATGAACACTCATACAAAGTTTTGTCTAAATCCGTCAAGAATTTTGTCTTGTAGAGTGTTTACAAGCAACCGACATAGGGTCTGACAAACGGACATGGGTGACGGACATGTGGACATGGCATGTGGACATGTGGGCGTATAAAAATGATTTCCCTGAGTTGGAAAAAAAGAGGGGGGGGGGGCTTCAATTAGAATAAATATGGTATGCATGTATGTCATGCCACTATGATAATTTGACATAGACTTCATCTCTCTTGTTAAGTTGAAAACAACCACACGTTTAGAAACAGTTATTTCTAAGAAAAAGTTCTATGCCTACATGCCAAAAACATGGTGATTTTAGATATAATATCAAATGGAACCCTTTGCCATTTAATTTAACAAATGGAATTTCACGCATGTGTAGAGAAATTAACCTCTAAGCAGATAGATTTAGCACAGAAGCATTTGTTCATTCATGACAAAAAAATATCAAACATGTTTTAAAATTATCGCCATGAAGGACCAAAATCTAACATGAATTTTTCTGCACTTGGAAGCTATCGCTTCAAAGAGAAGTGCACAAATGAATTCTGTCTTAGCTGATGGCTCGTGTGTGCGCTTGGCTTAAAAAGGTGATAACTATAAATCACTTACCTGTGGCATATAATTACTGGATTCAACACGTCCACCTTTGGGATAAATTCTGCTCATCTGTCGCTTATTGTAGCTAGATAAGTGTTAAGGGTTTAACGTAAATAAACAATTTTGAAGACTCAGGCTATTACAAAAAATACTTTAATGATTATAAATACTTGACAAACATCATGCTCTATATACATGAAATGAAAATGTAGTGGGGCACATAACAGAAATATCATGCAAATAATGATACAAGCAGCAAATTTGGCACACTTTCTCCATCTAATCATTATTAACACTGCCCAATAGGCCAATTGGAAAAAAAAACTGTTGTGTTATCTACGATTATAATTCTTTGACTATTTAGAAGAATTATAGATTACAATGAAGATTAAGTAATATATTCATGATTAACCCTCCCTGTCCCACAAAACTAAGCCAAATCCACCACCACTCCTTAAGAAAGCCTGCCAGTCAAGGTAATATACGCCAACTGGCAGCTTTGATTCTGAATAAATATGTCACAATATTTGGCAGTACAGTTACAATTAACAGTATGAAATATTCAACCTACACTACAGTCCCGCACTTTAAAATTTGCATATTAAATAAAAGATAGAATATTCAAAGAATTATGCTGTAGGTATACATATGTTGAACAATATTATTGACAAGTTTTGTCAAAATCCAGCAAGAATTGTGCCTTTCAGTGTTTACGTACTAAAAATTGAATGTGTTTTTAAGAAAAAGGTCAATAACTCCTATTAAACATTGTTTAATTTTTTGATTTTCAATATGGTTCATCCTTGATTGGTAATAAACAATTTCACCAATTTGTGCAAAGTCTATCAAGAATTGAGCTAAAAATTGAACGTGTTTTCAAGAACAAGGGCAATACCTCATATTAAATATTTTTTGATTCTTCTGATTTTCAATAGGGTTTATCTTTTGGCAGTAACAAACACTTTATATAACAACATCCGGTAGATTCTACTTTCGCTTTTACAATAAATTTTACGCAAACCCAACTTTTACTAGAAAAAAAAAATCTTGAAGTCAATCTGTGACGTCTATATATAGACATCGTGTCAGAAATCTTTTTTATTGATTGACAGCTAAATCTTTCAACTTTTAGAAGGGGAAAAAGTACCAGATATAGGTCAAACATACTTCGAGGGGGGTTATTGGGTGAAAACTTAACAGTTTTCTGAATTTAAGTTTACAGGAGATTAACTGTAAAAATTGAAAAATTTCTTGACAAAGGTCAGAAATTCAAAACTTACTTAAAGAGGGTTATTCTTAAAGAATTTGCAATGTTTTGATAAGGTATAGGTCTGTAGAATTATCTTGCTTATCATCGACCGGAAGTCAAAACCTCGTTGACTTTATGTGATTTTTAGGTTTTAGCATAAAAAAGCTATTCCTGCCCTAATACACCTTATGTATAAACCCAGAACCTCTATTCCGATTAAATCACGACTTATAGTCACATGAACAAAAACTTGTAATTTCATTGAAGTGTAGCCTGAAGACGTGATGACATGTGCCTTGTAATTGAATATAAGGTAAGGTTTTCCACATATCTTTATGATTTTATGCTGATTAACATTTCTAGACTTACTAAGATCATTTCGCATGTATGTTTCACAGAGGAATTTTGGTCCATTCACCTTATATCTGCGAAGGGCTAGATGCGACAGGTAAATCTAAGAATTGACCATCAAGAACATAATAACAATTCTATTGAATTGATTGTAATGAATTTTACACTTATATTCTAAACATGTTAAACTCTTTTTTGGATGTTTTCCGGACATATATGGTTTTGCAGTAATCCTTCAAATTGTTTTACAATGTTTTACCTAAAGTAGTACGTCACAAGTATGTCATTCAATATGAGCCCAAATCAATTAAATATGCACTGAGGTCTTCGTTATGTAGAATATTTGCGTTGTTCATTTCTTCCTCCTCTTCAGTGAAGTCACAATTTAACCCAGATTTCAAATAAAGCTGTCCTGAAGAGGATTATGTATCCAAAACACGTTCTGCAATTATCTTTACTGAATAAAGAATTGTTACTCCACAATGCAAAATATTTACTTATCATTGTTACTTTGTTGATGAATCCTCAACAGTTTACCAGTAACACATATTCAAGGGGAGACGCCTGTTTAAAATTGGCTTACAGCAATCGACAGAAAATGGCAAGAAACATTCTTCCCAGACTTTGAGATTTGCATGTTTGTTCGATGGGGCCAATGATTCTGTAAAAGACAAAAGACCACCTTCTGTATCTTTGTTTGATGATGCCAATGATTCTGTTAAAGACAATACCGGTAGATTCTCTTCTGTATTGTTGTTTGATGGTGTCAATGGTTCTGTAAAAGACAATAAAGGTAGATCGTCTTCTGATTTGTACGATTCAACTGATACTATCACTACTGATCATCATACCCCTGAGCTCAATGGAGGCCCATCAAAGAGATTGTGTTAAACTCCAGAGGTTCTTTACATGCCAAACATTTCTGGAGATTCCAAAGATTTCGACATTTCTGATCCTGAAGGTCCTGAATGGGCACCACAGAGGAAAGAACCTTTGGTAAGTTCTAGTGCAGTCCCATCAGACAATCATGGTATTGTAGAGCCAGTGTGTCATGAACATGCGTCAGATTTAGATTTTAGTGGTGATGAAATTGACAATCCTAAAGCTAATGGTAAACAATCTAAAAAAAGGAGTATCTCAAAGAAAACAGAACTATTTGGCTAGAATTAAAGGTGAGCAGTATAAGGGTCACAAGAAAACTGAAACTTGAAACCTGGAGTTTTCTATTACCACAGAAGCAAAGGTTCTTGGACCAGGCGGCTGCTTGAAATCCATGTGAAAAAAATAAGCTAACGAAATGTACCAACTTTTCAGAAGAGGATAGGTTGATTATTTTGAATGGATTTATTTCAAACAATGTGGATTCGCATACACTTGTGGAAAGGAAACAACCAGAAAACACATCAAGACGCACAAGAACTCAGGTGTACTACCGCAAGAAGGATGATTCAAGAGTTCGAGCCTGTAAGCAGATGTTACTTTCAACACTTGGTATAGGAGAACGGCAATTCTTAAATTGGACCAGAACCTCTGTTAATGGTGATGGCACACATAAGTCTTCTTTTCTGGAATCAACACCAAACCGTAAACATAACGAAAACCAACATAAAAGGGATGTTGCCAAAGGATTCATTGAGTCACTACCAAATTTACCGTGCCATTACTGTCGTTCCTCTACATCTCGGTTACAACCTGATTTACACTCTTTTAAAAGAATCTAAGAATTTTGTGATAGTAAAGGTGAAAAGTATTTGTCTGAGAGAGTATTTAAAGAGGTAGCTGAAGACTTAAAACTGTGGTCATGATACAGGTAATGTGAACGAAGATGGGTATTTAGAGCATTTAGAAAAAAAGACAGAAGCAGAGATAAGGCGGTTGCTTTAGAAGGGACGTGTAAGGTTGTAACTCTAGATTTGCAGGCAGTGATGATGATGCCATCTCTACAAGCTAATCCCATGTATTACAAAACAAAGCATGTCACAACTATACTATTTATGATCTGGCAACAAGTGATGTTTGTTGCTAATTTTGGCATGAAGGTGAGGCGGAATTGGATGTGAATCAGTTTGCGAATTGCTTGTATAACTACATTTTAGGTTTGAAACTCCAGTGTGGCCAGGTCCTGATTATATACAGCGACGGTTGTGTTTATCAAAACAAAAATTGTGTGTTATCGAATATGCTTTTATATTTGTTTGTTACATGAGGGTTGATTATAATACAAAAGATCCTTGAGAAAGGCCATACACAAATGGAATGCGATAGCATCCATTCCACAATAGAACATGCATTGGAAAATCGACCTATCTATGTTCCAGCTGATTATGCTGATGCAATAAAGTCAGCTCGATTAATTAACCTTACACAGTGAAATACCTCGATCACTGATTTCAGCAAGATTAATTACTATTCCTCCACAAGACCTAGTGTAAAAGTTGGTGATCAATGTGTTACTGACTTGCACGTTTTAAAATATTCTCCTGATTGAATAATACGATTTAAAATCTAGGTACTCTGAAGACTTCCGATAATTCCAAGAAAGGCAAAAAGCATTTCTCAGGTTGAAACAGAAAATTGGAAATTGTACTTTTTCAAATATCAAAATTAGAGCTTGAAAAATTCAAACATTTATGTGAATTAAAACTAGTAATCCCAGTTGATTATCATGAATTTTATAATTCGTTGGAACATGATTAGGCAAAATCGGTAACAATTAGATTTCATAATCGTGTTTTTTGTCATAATGGCCAAATAAATATTTATAGTGATTTGGTTCTATTTTTCTAAGAAGTAAATTAACTTTAATTATTTAGTTCATAATTGATGAAACAATAGAGTAAAATTGAAAGTTAATAGTGTCTCCAATGTCAGGACAATAAATTTGGCGTACACATAATTCTGACATCATCGGTTTTAACAAAAACAAAAGTCAACGACACTCTTAACTTTCGTGATACAATTATATTGAATTACACCATGTTTCTTCAAATGCACTGCATTGTTTGCAAATGACTATTTTTTTACACCCACATTATAATGTGGACGTATATTGTCGTCACCCGTGTCCATCCGTCCGTCGGTCCGTCTGTCCAGAAATGGCTTGTGAACACAATAGAGACTACAGTTTTTATCTGATTTGAATGAAATTGGTGGGATCATTTATATTGATGAGATCTTGGACAAGTTTGATATTCACGATTTTTCGATGAACAGTTTTTGAGTAATTGCCCTTGACTTATGAAAAACACGTCAAAATTTGAACACAATAGAGACTACAGTTTTCATCCAATTTAAATGAAATTTGGTGTGAATATTTATAATGGTGAGATCTTGGTCAAGTCTGAAGTTGGCTATATTTTGATGAACGGTTTTTGAGTTATTGCCCTCGATTTATGAAAAACGCGTCAAAATTTGTTTGTGAACACAATAGAGTGTATAGTTTTCATCCCATTTAAATGAAATTTGGTATGATCATTTATAATGAT